GTCTTTCAAGTGGTATGCAATGTTCTGAATTCCCTCGATCAGGGCCTGGTTTGCTCATCAAATTGTAACATTGAAACTGGAATGGAAACATCATTCAAGTGTTATTATATTCTATTACCTACCGACAAAGGGCTGATGCTTCTCAGGGTAACTGCATGTCGCCACTCTTTCTCTCTCTCTCCTCAGATTACCAAGAGACTCTCTCTGCTTTCATGGGAATTGTTCAGTTTTCTTCAGCTTTGCAAAGCATCTTTTATATATTTTCAGAACTTTCTGAAATATAGGAGGAATAATCTGGATTGAGGGTTGAATTGTTTATCACCTTAGCTAACCGGTGAGGATAAAATTGATTAGATAGAAAATTGGAGTAGTGGTTGATGAGCGTCGGAATTTTTTTTTTTCCATCGTAGAGTATATTCTATTGCCAATTTGTTATTGTTCCTTCTTGTTTCCACCTTTTTAACTTATCATTGTTTCCACACTTCCATTACATTTTAGGTATGAGAAAATTTCACCCGAAGTTTTCTTTTTTCTTTTCCTTTTATTTCCTCTACTTTTAAGTAATCATGAGTCGCTTATATAAAATATGCAGAGACTGTCAGCATTGGAGGAGTTCATGCCTATCCCTGATGTTAGCCAACTTACTAGCTGTGTGGTGGATAAAGAGATAAAAAACACAGTGCAAGATTCCTTCCTACAGGTTAAATCAGTACATTCTTTCTTTTATTTGTATCTGGTTTATTTTTCTTATGCTAAATTGTGTTGACCTGCTTACTGCTAAGACTATACTGATCTATGAGACACTTTTAAAAGCTAAGTTGATCATGGCTGCTAATAACTTCAGTGACAAAATTTAGTATGGAGGATTTCTACTCACTTTTGTTCATGCTGTGATGATAACGAAAGGAATGTGCTTATTTCCAGATAGAAATAAATGACTACAATCCCATCCAGCACGAGAGAGGTTTCCATAAGAAATTGAACTTCCTCGTTAAAGAGAGCCTTCAATTTGGGTAAATAAATATCATCTCTACTCATGTTCGAGTCTTCTACGCACAATCTGTTTCTTTTAACTGTGCGTTCTTCAGAGTTTTGATTTCTATTTGTTTCAATATCTAGAAACTTCATCTCCATAAGTTACTATTGTTCCAAAGCGTACCAATCAAAATTGAAATGAGCAAGTGCCGCCATCTGATTTCGCACGAAATATCTAAACATTGCCTATTATTTGTTGTCTTTGCAGGGCATTACCTCTCAAAAGTAAAGGAAACTCGGAATGTCATCCAGCAGACTTTGATACAAACAGTCCTAAGGATGATCAATCCTCAGTAATCACAGAAAACAAACTTCCACCAACTGACGTTAAACATGAACAAGACAAAAGTGCGTCGATCCTTTCGGAAGAATGGGAAAAGCTAATAGTTAACGAACTCGGTGTTATAATGCACTCTCCCACATGCAATCCCGTCTCCAAGCTGGACCACGCGGTTATGAGCTCACCATCACAGAATAATAATAACAACAGCAGGCAGTTGGACGAGAAGACCTCGAGAATCCTCGAGAGGCTCGAAATCCCGAGGCAGCTGAAAAGGAAAGCAGTTTCGCCAGGCAGTCTTTCTTCTGATGTGTGTGCACCGGTAAAGAAGCCTCTGATACCATACAAGGCCACTGATGTTTCATCTTTGTCGAGCCAGCTGCTGAAGCCCAGTTTCCAGAGGATTAAAAGGAAGGGTTAACAACGAATGATCTTCTGAGATAGGTAAAATCCCTTGCCTTTTTCTGCTGAGAGTTTATAACAACCAAAAGAACCCCCTGATCAGAAGGCTAGTTTTATGATGTTATTTGGATTTTGTGCGAGTTAGAACGATTGGTTGTAGGCTTTTTTGATGATCTCAGAAATTCATTTGAAAGTGCGGTGAAAATGATCTCACGATATACTAAAAGGATAAAAGATTTGGAACTGTTAAATCAACTATCCACGACGGTTATAGATGATTTAACTGTTACAAATCTCGACAGAATGGTTCGGTAAACGGGACTATAGCATTTCCCCATATACGGTCGATTCTTATCAAGATCAAATCATATCAGGGTAAATATTTTGGAGCGGCACACGTTCTAAGTTGGTAAGTTAATGCTGTTTCGACTTTCAATAATGAATAGTGTAGTAGGGGGAAATGCAATGAACATGGGAATTTTATTTTATAAAAATGAGGTGAAATACTTTCGATAGTGAATTTTGACTAGTGAACTAGGGGAATGCAATGAACATGGGACTTCAATTAATCAAAATAATGTTAGGATTGAAGTAAATAGGGAAGAAGTAGTAGTATTAATTTGAAGGGGTTTGGTTAGTTTACAGGTTTATTTTATTTTTTTATTTTTTTAACACAAATACAACATTCAACATAAATACATAAATAAATCATTTATAAAGTAGTTATGAATTAAAAAAAAAATGAGAAACAAATAAAAAAAAATTAATCAACCATATATAAACTATAAAAGAATATCGAAAAGTAAGTCCTACTATAGTAGTCTATTTAGTGAAATGAATGAAAAATCGATCAATTTTATCAAAAATCTGAATTTCAACGAAAAATTAACATATTTTTGCCAGGATCCGACTAAAGTAATCTCCAAATTGTTCAATTTTTAACATTATACGGTCATGTTACGGAACTATTACGTCGAGTTTGTAACCGGTTAGATCATCAATTAACTGTCGGAAATAGTTGATCTAACGATTGTAAACCCCGACGGAATGATTCTGTAACGGGACCGTAACATCTCCTTATATGAACTATTTTTTACTAATTAAACTTCAATACGTCCAATTTTTGATATTTATTAAAATTTATTAGAATCCAAATATTCATTCTTAAAGAAGTCCAGACGCCGGATGACTCCACCATTAGATTACTACTACCACTCTTGCTTATCCCTTTGGAATGCAAAAACCTTCAATCTTCCCTCAAACAACAAAAGATCAAACACACCAACAACACAAACCCCCGCTCTTCATATCATCTCCAAATCCTCCATTTCTTGTACATAAGAAAAAAAATGGAAACAGAACCTGAAAACATCCACCATTTCCTCTCA